TTAATATCAATGGAAGCTTATCGTATTCTACATATTTTCGCGTAAAAATGCCTCGTATCCTAACGATTGCAAAATCGAAGAAAAAAAGGAAAGGCGCCAGGCGTATACCGACAAAAGTTTTCGCCACTCCGGATACGGGGAAGTTTCACCGTATTTGCGCATCCGGTATCATAAATCTTCGACTCTTCCCGCCTTCTGGTACCCGGTGGCCAAGTCACCAAACCCTTCGTCCATCCGAGGAATAAATTTACAAGAAAACTGCTACATTTTTTTTAATTTCTTTCCCATTTCATTCGTTTTCTATAAAAAAAAATTCTTTAAAAATGATTTTTAATTTAATATAAATAAATTGCAAGAAAAATACTCATTATTAATAAATCATAAGAAATGAAAATTAATCGTAATAGTTAAATAGATTAAATTTTTTATTGAAAAATTCTAAAATCCTAAAATTATTTATTTCTTTTAAGATCGTTTTTGCTAAAAATTTCTTCTCATTTATAAGTAATCACAGATTAGGTTAATGGTCGACTTTTACAAATATTTTTATATCAAAATATGAAAAATATAACTTATGCTATTCCATTCAACAACTCAATTATCCCTACCAAAAAAACTCACTTCTATTCATTAATCTAAGCTATATCAGGAAATCATAATCCTCTCATAATCTCTCTCTCTCCGTGAATCCTCTCTCGCTCAACAATTCATCGCTATCAACGCCAAGTTTTTATAGATTATTGATGATCGAGGCGTTTCGGCGCACAAAAGAGTGGCATAATAACGCAATTAGCGGCGCGTTGACAAATTGAATCGATCCGAAATGTATTCTTTTCATCGTGCCCCGATATCTCGTTTCTCCCCTTTCTTCTTCCTATAAATATTTCATGCCGCGCGTTGTCCCCACATCCGTGGAAAATCATCGAACGTTGGACGATCCTTCTTTATACGGCCTTTTCGACTGCCACCCTCGAAAATTCTTGTGGCGAAAACCATGGAAAACCGATAATCTTCCATCAATCAGTATCAGAATCGTACCGTCGCCGTTTTGAAGAAAAAAAGAATACACGACATTCTATAAGCCTTTGAATTTAAAAAAAGAAATCATATGATCGAGCCTGATACATTGGAATATTTCACGATAAACATTGATTTACTTAAAATCCGGCGTAACGTTTACTGTTCCTCATAAAAGGATATATTACAACGAATAGTGATTTTTTTATATCAAGGCAATCGATTTTGTATAATATTCCAAAAAATATACAAAAAAAATACGTTAAGATAATTATCAAAGAATTTAAACGGTAATATTTTAAATTATACAAAAAAGGCTTTCTACACAGGAAGAACAATTTTGTTAGATCAGATCAAAATATTCATTACAGGACGATTAAGCTAGAATCTCAAAACTTTTTGTAGCATTATACTTGAGCATTTTATATAGTTT